AGTTGTGCATGCAGTTTATCTTCATCTTTGGATGCTTCATAGTGGTATCTTCATATATTTTTAATAAAATTTTCTATACTTTTTTCATGCTTTCACTATAGCATATTTTGTTTATTAAGACTGGTTTTAAGCGTCGGTTAGAGATAACGTATAAATTATTTGCAGAAAAGCCGATTAATAGTATTGTAAAAAAGAATGTTGATATTCCCAAACTGTACAAACTGTACTAACGGCTAATGGTTAACAGATTTTTAGGTGTAAATTTTTGATAACGTTTCATCAATACAGCTTCTTTACAGAATTTATTTATACTGCTAAAAAATTACATCTATTATTTCTTTTTTTTTTCTCAAAAAAAAGAAAAAAGAAAATTAACTATAAAACACATCTAAGGGACTAGGTGTTGCTAAATTATTTGATTGTAAAATAACACCGGAAAATGCTTGTAATGCAATTAACTGATTCCACAATCTTTTTCTACGACGGTATATATTTTTAGTTTTTTTCTTCTTTAATTAATAATAACGGACATCAAAATAAACAACCTAACATCATTAAGACCACACGAGTAGCAGAAAATAAAAAATTCTTTTCTTTCCTTTTCTTTTCGTTTATTGTCATCAAATAAACTATACAAACAGTATCGTTCTCGAAAAAATTTTTACGGCAAAGACAACAAAAAACGATGATGATGATGATGATGATGATAATGCTGAATTAATTAGAAGTGTCACCCCTGCAATCAGCCAAATATACGTTGATGTCACATAATCGTTGTATGTATTTTACGATTTTAGTCTAAACTGATTAATCAGCAAAACAAAATTTTTTAAAATTTAAAAAAATTTTCTGTTGTTTTTTTTTTCTTTTCTGTTCCCCTGTGCCTCCTCTCCCCCCCCCCCTCTCATTCCACCTTTACTTTCTCTCCCTTTACAAGTATCTTAATAAAGCTAAAATTTTGTTACTTTGTCATTATGTGACAAAAAAATAACTGTAAATAAAGAAAGAAGGAAAAGGTTTGTTGCTAAGGATTAAAAACTTCTAAACTTAAAAGGAAAAAATAAGAATAATAAAACATTATAGAAAAAAATATCGTTTCAAACGCTATAAAAAAAACAAGTTTCTTTCTTTTCTTCTGCATTAATTATGCGGTATCGGCTGATGAAAAAATTGTAAACGATAAATTTATATAACAAAAGAAAA